CAAATGAATTATTATCGACTAGCAAACAATCAAAATATAATAATAATAGAAATTATTCGACACTTATCTTAAATAAACAACAAAAATCAATATTAAATAGAATGTTTGTAAATAATGATACTAATACGTCATCGATACCGAATAAACTATCGTTTATATCACAAATAAAAAGTCATTTTGTTAAACATCATAAAAAAGCATTATCCGTTTCATCGATAAATAATAATTCAAGTGAATTACCATCATCAGAGGATTATACATTGGAGGATAATCTTAATCGATTACACGACAATGAAATAACGATACGATCATCAAAACAATCTATACAAAAAACTGATGTAAGTATTTCTTCAGTTTATTTTATAGATAATGAAAATTTTATTATTTTTTGAAAATAATGATAAAAATATGATTTATTTGAACATTCAATCTTCTTTATTACTATTATTTATGTGAAAAATTATTAATTTCTAAAATTTTTAATTTACATTTTCTTCTAGAAACTATATTTTTATAATAATAGTTAGATAATTAGAATTTATGTGTCATGAAACTGTACCGTACTGTTGAAATACATTGTCTTCTTCGTACTTTGTGTAAGACAAATAATACTATATAAAAGTATTATTGTACACGTGTATAGTCAAGATTGCTATCCTATGTTTATTTATTTATCGTAATACATACTATTTACTTTTTATTCCTCTCTCTCTCTCTCTCACCATATATACATAGTTTAATAGTGTGATTATTCTGAGATTCGCTTGATTAATTCGCCTTTTTCGTCTATCAACAGAAGACTGGAACCTTCATCACTTACATTACTATTCTTTATTTTAAATAACTTATTAACAGTAAATTATTTGTCTAATTTACTAATCTATTTTTAATAGTATTTCTCTCAGCTATGGGACATAAAGTGAGTATTGTTCGTAAATCAAGGTCAATTTAATGATGAAAAGACCGGAAAAAAGAAACATGTTTTCGAACAGGTATTTCTTATGGAAAAATATTGATAAATAATTATTTTGGATTAAATAT